TTCTCTACCCAAAAAGTGCTGGGAGCTAGTCTGTGCTGTTTGCGAAGAACTGATTTTTTTTCCCGAAATTGTTTATAATAGCTATATATTTCCACTTTACTTAAATTCTGTTATAAATAAAAATAACGTTATGCAGACCAGGATGAGCCCCTATCACTTTTTAGGATATAAACTATGTAAGCAATGAATATTCCAAATTTCAGCACAAACAAAATAGTCTATTCCCTAGCAGTTTTGATGTAAAGCACGAATACGCTTATCGCTCTAGATAGCGATATTCTCTACTTTCGTTGTCCCTGTGCATCTCTAATACTACTAGATGAATTCATATTCTGTATAAATTGTATTTAATAAATTATTTTCTTTTAGTTTTAATGATTAGATTTTAAAAATAGCGATGGTATCATATTTTTTTAAACCATTCTTGTAATTATTTACCCAGTAAATCTAGTTTTCTTGATCACCTGTCCTGCGTCATGTCAAGGCTGATGACGTCATATTTGGCGAAATACTTTCTTCTATTGCTCGACTGTATTGCTATCAAGTATTGCACTTTTATATGATTTTATATTTATAACTAATTGATAAAATAAATAAATTCATTTTTTATTTACGCATCATAGTGTCGTTAATTAATTTTTGTGGCTTGTTGAATTTATGACGTCATAATTTAACTTCTAATACAGTAGACCAGGAATGTGAACTCTTGATCTTTCTTAACATAGCTGAGAAGTGTCTTTTATTAAATGCAGTGTAAATCATGCTTCTTCAATACTAGAAAGCTGGTATTTGGACACATGTATAAGGAGTCTCCATTCTTAATGTAGTTTACAGATGGATGTCATCAAGAGGACTTAGATTAAATAATGTGACATCATCTACTGCACCTTAAATATTTCTGCAATTTAAGTGTTTTCAATCACCAAAATATCCAAAACAACCGGTTTAATTTTCCTTATTTTTGACATATTTTATTCTTGAACCAATTTAAATCATTCTGTAAACTTTTTGTAAAAATGGAATTACTGTAAAATCACATATTTTTGAGGAGTCAAATTTTTGTGGTTTTAGGAAAATATATTGGTTCATGGGAATTTGATTTCATGGTTGATGAATTGTTCAGTGGTAATATATGTATAAAATTGCATTTTTTTGCAAACATAAATTCGTGTGTCTCTAAATACCTCACAAACCATGAAAATAAACCCCCATGAAAAAAATCTTCATAAACAGCGTCACGCAAGTTTTCAATACGTCAATTAATAATAGTGAAAAAAAAGACTGATTCTCCAGTTGAATGCCTGAATTCACAATTTTCTTACAGACAACCGAAAGGCCATATTTCAAGCTATGTAGGCAAAAATATGTGGTTATATGTCTTTCATATTTCTTTAATAAAGAGATTCTGAATCTTTGAATAAAAGTATCTTAATTTCAGAAAAAATTCCTGGCCTAACTATTTTGTACTTCCTTGAATTGTAAAGATTGTTTTTTTTTCCTCATTCATCTAAAAAAATATGACAATCAATAATTGATTATGACCCTTAACTTGGATAATACCATTAATCCAACAAATATCAATTATTATGTGTTGAGTTAATCAGGCAAAGATGTTAAATATAATGTTATATTAAGCAGAATAAAGTCATGGCCTGTTTAAGCTGTGAGTAGTTTTTTTCATGCCAGCACTTACCGGGACATTGGACTTTAATATACATAAAAATATATTGCTGAATAAAACATGCTTTTTTCAACGTATGTTTGTTTCTAATAAATTATGTAACATATTTGCTAATTTATAAGGGAAGAGTTTCATTTCAAAATCAAACAATATAAATTTTCCTCAGCAGTGTTTAGAAGGAATTTATTTGCCATTTTTGACGTTTCAATAAATTACTATTTTATTATCCTGTTGGTATTCGATGAATGTGCATGCATGCGATAAGATTCGCCACATCTATAGATTCAGTGTGTAAATAATGACCTAATAGTTAGTATGAAAAATGTTATTTAGCATAATAATAAATTGTTCATATGCATTTGCTGACAAGCGTGTTGTTTAGATCATAGAATTTGCAAAATAATGAAATTCATGCGTTAAAATTTGTTTCTGCAAAATATTTGTCAATAGCTTGTATCCTTGTAGGAATTGTTTGTATGTTGAGCATTTATTGGTGTATAGAATCAAACTGGAAACATGAACCTCAAATGCATTTGATAAGGGTGTATTGCTATATGAGTAAGGTACATGTACGGCAGGAACTCAAAATTCTACCTGCATCATAAAGTTTTGTTGTTAACTTGTTATAATACCATTCATGTATTTACAAGTATGAAGCAGATGTGCTAAGACATCACTGGTCAAAATATAAATATACGTAAGTCTGGTTGATTATTCATATGTTTTTTAACGTCTCTTTCGAGAATTTTTCCAATCAAATGGAGAAGTCACCCTTGTCGGTGGAGAGCTGCAAACTTTTTCCTATTCACGACAGGTACTCGTGTAGTAAAAATCCTGCTTCAAGAGTACTGTGCAACAATATATTCATGAAGTGGCGTGAATAAATGTGGATGCTCAAAAATTCGAAAAAAAATTGAAATTGCAAGATTTTACCATAATCAACAGCGAAGAATTTACGACTTTAATTTTCAACTTTAGGCACAACCATTCGCCTCGATAAATTTAATTTTTATTTTTTGAAGTGCATATTTTACCAGGTAAACAAATCGGTAGGCGATTTTTATTTCATGTACATGAGCTTTAAATTTATGCAGGATGTATATAAAGTTTTGAAAAAAAACACGTGAAATGGTAACAATTACTAAGTATTTAAGAAATAAGGTATCATTTTTAAACATCTATCGGGGTATAAATACGGGTTGGTCACGAGATTAAATTCCATAAAGCCCGAAGGGCTTTATGATGAATTTAATCTCGTACCAACCCGTATTTATAGCCCGATAGATGTTTAAAAATGATACCTTATTACTTATATTTACATTTGTGACTTATTCATACTTTATATTTGCCTGATTGTGACTTTTAGCGTATGAAATGCATTATTTTTCAAACACAACGGCAAGTATGTAATCTACCGAACGCGCGTCGACCCTTTATGACGTCACTGAGAAATTACGTCAAACGATTATCCGAACGCACATCTTTAACCTCTTGACCCCATACCTGTATTTATACAGTTATAGATACGCATTTCTTTCAGTAGTGTTATATAAAGGAAAACATTTGCAAATGTAAATATTTCATTTTGAAGTTTCATTATATCATGAGAGAAATTACATATACAAAATGTGAAAAGCGCCCTTGACATTACTCTTTCCAGTCTTGATTAGGTTACATTATTTCAGCAGAGAAAGCCGAATACACTGTCTAGTCTGTAGCTTGCTTCATCTGTAGTATTAAACATTTCTTTTAGAATCTATGAATATGATATCTCTTTATAATCAGGGTCCTTTTGAGCAACAAATACATACATTAATTAATTACATGTATATAAATATTACATAAGGCCAAAAAAATAATCTTGATTTCTGCAACTTTTACAATTTTCTTTTTATTTCAAAAAGACAAAAGATTCCCAAGTAAATGTCCACTATCATTTATAAAAGTGGTTATAATAATTAAAAAGCATCTGCAATCCAAGGCAGAGAGAGTTTGAACAATTTAAGTAAAATATGTTTTTCCATTTTTGAGTAACTAAACACCACCTCGTGTGTTAGACAGAGATAAGTATGATTGCTTTATTTTTAGCCAATTTTACCAATCTGGCCTTTATCATGTTCTGACACCAGGAATGGGGTCAATTACTTTAAAAAGTAATTAACTAAATTACAATTACTTTGAATTTTTCTTCAGTTAAATTACAATTAAATTACAAGCTTTCTAAGACTTGTAATTAATTAAATTACAATTACTTTACAAAAGTAATTAATATAAATTACATTTTATTTTCTTGAATTTGTTTATATTAATCATATGAATATACAGAACATGGATCATTCACTTGTATATAAGCGTAGCCTCTGCGCAAACAATACAAGAAATAGTATGTTATTAGGCATAGTGTATCTTTGTGGTTTAAATTACAACTTTTATTCATAAAAAAGTAAAGAATTGTTCAAGATCAGTTTAATGCAGTTGCCTCCACACAAAACCAACATGTACACTAATTACATGAGATATGATATTTGATTAAAAGGGGATATATCAATAGTGTAAAAAGTTGTCACAACTATAACCCCTCAATTTTAGCTCTAACGAGAGTTAGTTATTGCTAAGCACAAGGTCATTTGGAAAGATCAAGGTCACACATACTAGTATTCCTTTACAGTCTTTTTCCTAGCGAAACATTGTAAGTTGCTTCTTTTACAAGGTTTTTTACTTGTATATCTTAAGTATGTGGCTTTTGACCTCGACTCAAGGTTACGTCTTCTAGTCTGTAGCTCCAACGGAAGACCTATTCGTTGCTTTGCAACGAGCTCGGCTCTAGTGTATAAATATATTTGCATCTAAAAAAAAATCTTTAAATGATGTTTCAATATATTGCAGAAAAGCATATTTTTGAAAATTAAGGACATACGCAACGTACCTTACATACTGATAACTTTTCAAGATATTTTTAATTTAAGATTATAGTGTCATCAGGTGTTCGTTGACAAACATTTAGTATACATTTCAGGGGTTTTAGGAATATATCAAATTATGAAAATTTCCCTTCAAATTTATTTGAGAAGAGGTGTATAAATCCATATATAGACATTTAAAGTATTGCACACAGGCCCTTCATTTCGTGGAACTCATCAACTCCAGGGAAGAACCCAATAATGATTAAATAACGTTGCGTATGACCTTAATTATTCAAACCTTAGCTCGTAAATTTCTTGTTTTTGCTGATATATTTGTATTATATAATTTTCTTCGAGATTAATTGCACGGTTAAGAAATATATGTTACAATGAGTCACCCATATCTATCTATAAATATGTCTGTTCTCTCATTTTCGTCGTTTGGTGACCCAGATTTTCAAAGGAAAGGTGAGTAAAACAATTTATTCTGCGTCAATACATATTTCTATTACAATTCAAATAATATTCTCTTCACCAAAACACTTTTTTTTCTGTCATGGCATACTAAATCGGTTAAATGTTTATACCATTAACTGCATTTTTAACTGTATTTGGAGGTCGAAAGATGATGTTTTTCCAGACTGCTGCTCTTGTGCTGTTATTATTAGCGCTCGGACACGTGGAGACGTCAGGTACATTTTAAATCCATGTTACTTGTACTAATATTTACCGCAAACACTTGTTTTTAAGAAGAAACGCGAAATCTCATTCTTTCATGTAAGACAAGTCGTTTGCTCTCTGTGATGTTTTATTTTAATGTGATCTCGTTTCGAAATAATTTTAATTATAGGGACTCATAATACGGGTATTTGAATAGAAGAATTAATGTTTTGAAAGTCATTTTTTATCAAATAACTGGGATTCAAGTTTTATCACACTGAAAAAAAAATCTGCAGAAAAGTATTGTAAAACCTATGAATAATTTTTTTTTTCATTTTAAAATAGCTTTATTAAACATAATGCATATAAGATTAAGGCAAAATTGTTTTTTTTTAATTTATTTTTAACTTGTATGGCTGTAACTTAATAACCAGTCTTAAATGTTCTGGTGGACTACTGAAAACAAACTGCTATTTGTTTTTCGCTTATAAATATTATGAAAAGACATAAAAAAAAAATAAAGATTTGCAATGGTTCAAATTCTCGGGTTCCCTCTTTTTTACTTTTTTTTAATCTCGTGCAACTTAAAACACATAAAAGTTTAGAATTATTACGAATTATATAGTATTTTTTATGAACTATTCACGATGTTATTTCTTCATATGTTTGTTTATGTAATGCAGTGACAAAGGAGATATCCCAAAAATGTGACTTTTGGTCGGCCATATTGTTGCGATTTTGCAAACTTTCGATCATTAACATATTCTATTTGCCCAATTTGCTTTTAAAGATCATAAGAACTTTACAAATCAGGAATCCAAAACTGGTATGATTAACATTATAATTTTACTTTCAAAGAAATACAAGACAAAAAAAGAGTAATTCTTAGGTACGCATAAGGACCGCCACATATTTCGGTAAACAACCATGCTAATTGCGGAGTTGCTAATCCCTGTAATTTATGTCTCATAAAGCAAGAGATTCCTTAATGAATAAGCTATTTTTTCCCATAATTTATATGTTGTAACGGTTCATTTTAATGAATTACACACCGTTTATCATTGGGAGGCCAAGTGGTTAACGTGTCTGATCTAAATTTGCAAAGAAGGGAGTTGATCTTTATGTTGCTGGTTCGAAAACCGCAGTGGGGCGTGGAGATCGCTCTTTTGGTTTAGACCGTATTTAACAAGGTCTCTTGTCGCAGTAGGTGCTGGCACGAAAAAGATCCCTCAATGCACAATGGCCCTAAGTGCCGAAAATTAACACAATTAACAGCTCTCAACCGGCAAAATTCTCGAGAGTCAAGTTAAACAATACACAATCAATCAATCTAAAATTTTGTTTCTATATTGCAGGTGACGTTATTGCATTTAATACATACATAACAAAAACCCTGCATTTACAAGAGGGGACCCTCGCTGACGTTGTTTACGATGGTTTGTATTACAACCATGGAAACGCGTACAATCAGCAGACGGGTGTCTTCACAGCGCCATCTAACGGGCTTTACGTGTTTACATGGTCAAGTTGTGTAGCAGCGGGAAAGATTTTTGACGTGGAACTCCTTCTCAATGGCAAAAGAACAGGACTTGGAAACTGCAATAATGTTGGTGGTAAGGGATATGCAAACTGTTCAAATACATTTCCACTGGTTTTGAAAGCTGGGGATAAGGTGAACATCCGTACTACAAAACATGCAGATTATCTGCACCAAGATTTTTCCAGTTTTTCCGGATGGAAAGTATAAAGACAATTAAATACAATTGTATACTACACGTATCAACGTAATAAAGCAAATTTAAAAAGCTACCTTTTCTTAATTTTTAACATATGTAGAAAAAATGCTGTCTGGCTATACATGTACGTTTTTGATAATTATATAAGAATCTTGTTTTGACACAACAAACAGTCCTATATGGTTCCTCCGATGAGAGAGTGGTCATTTGTATGTAATAATGCTTTCATGTTAAATACTAAAATCTGATTGGTTTAGACGCAGTTTACAATCCATTCTTTTACCCTCAGCCTTTGCAACACACGTGACAACGGGTAACACAACGGTAAAGTCACATGCATGGAAATTATGCGCGTGCAGTTCATTGTAGAATTCTCAAAACCTTGGTTGCGCGTTTGAAAGAACCGGAATAAACATGTTGTCAATAAAAGCTTGCGTACAATGAAGCTTTATCGAAAACAACAAATGATAGACGAAACATGCTTGCGAGTGCAGAAATAACGAAAGGTTATATGATAAAGGACTCTTAGAGTATCAAACAAACAATAAAGAGGTCAATTAATCTTTTTCGAAGCAGCGGGGAGTTTGCAAGCTTTCTAAATGTGAACGTAAAGGCGATCGACGATTTTTTTGTGGCTGACATCCTAAATCAATAAGACATTCAGTATAATAAAATAAAACGTGCCTGTTTCGTAATTTTTACAGTTGAAATTAACACCCTTGCTGACGCGTCGGTTGACAACAATGGTTTCCCTTGGGGTGTCAGTTTCAACTGTCACCCTCCAATAAGGTACCATGTACATATTGTACATCTTCCAACGGCAATCGATTTTTCATTTCCTTGAAAATGTCCCCCAAAGAAAACAAACTTCAAAAGATAGAAAAGAAGAGGATACTAATGTAGCATCTAATAGATATGGTCTGAAATAGACCTTCGGAAGAAAATAAGGCTGAAACAACTTCAATATGTCACAAAAGGTCCAGTCTTGTATTCCACCATATTTCAAGCTAAAGACTAGTAATGACCCTTGTATTTCCTACAAATAAACATGGGTCATTGCTTCCAAACTTTTCAATTACAAGAAAATTTTAAATGGCCTGGATTTTGAATATCCAAAACATAGCCCTCCATCGTTTCCATGTTCTTAATTCTTCGCCCTATAACTGTAGTCCTGCTGGACACGTTATTACAGGTGGCGTAAATATAGTAAATAATGAGGACCTTAGATCACTTATTTTAAAATGTCCTAAATATAGGGAACCCTGATCCTTCGACTGGCGTCGGAATTTCAAAAATATTACGGATTCTGTTGCAGATGACGCCAGACGATGATTCCGGGTATGAAAATGAAGACGTTGACCATTTGTCAGAATGGATAAATGTATAAAATCCGTGTTAAAGTCGCGTATTGAAAAATTGAGGGGCAGTACAAAACCATCTGCCCTTCTGCATTCAAAAATCCAGAAATTAAAAAAAAATTAGATAGATTACTTGATCAATACATACTGGTCCCTGCTGACAAAGCAAGTAACAACATTGTCTTCGTTTGTAAGGCTCATTATATAAATTGTATTTAATAAGAACTTGGATTTAGTTCCACAAGTGGTAATTTTCCTTATAAACATACGTCCCTCTCCAAGAAAGTAATCATATGTCAATTTTGAATATCTTTAAAATCCCACAGAGCCGAAATGAATTTGAACTATCATATATGTATTGGATTTCAAAACGTCATAAAAATCCTAACAAACAAAGATGCATCGTGGGTTCCAATAAATGTTCACACAAGCCTCTTCCTTTACTCCCCACTTAGATAATGACAGTAGTGAAGGGAAAACTTAAAAGAGAACTGTACAACAAAATTCAGCGCACGAAAGCAAGCGTAATTTAGTCTCATATAACGTCATGATCTCTTTTTCTGTTTCACACGCGTCTGCTAACATTCAATATTTTCTTTTAAGTGAAATACCACTCTTGACTAAGGGACTCTTTTAAATTCACTACTGTCAGGTTTTTTGATGTTTTTTTTAAGCAGATTCAAATTTTAGTTGAAATCTAGTCGAAAGATCGCCATACATTGTAGGTAGCAGAGAATACACATTGTTTGACATCGTTCGTGGCCCAGATTGTTCCCTGTTGTCTGCGTTACTTAACAAACAGTACTCTTTTTCTTACATGTTGTAACTAATTTCGGTATAGAGGAAAAACTCTCAGTGAATCTCATGTCATTTAAAAATAACTTCCCTATTAAAATCTAGTGTGTAATGTCACTTCTGTACTTTTTTCCCGTCTTTTATGTATACAAATCATATGCAAAACAATTTATTATATTTCCGTGCGCCGGATACCCGTTTGACGACGTCATTTTCATCAAACACAATTCTAACAACACTTTGAAAATCACGACACCAGTCGTCTGTTTCCAATGCTATTTATTTGAATTTTGACATATTATTAAGATTTTGATTCTGATTTCTCTGATGTAAATTTGAGTTCAATGTTTTACATAGTACTAAAGAAATAAAGCAAATGTAATAGTTATATGCGTAAAATATTCCGAATTTGCTCGTGCGCCGACAGACCTTATCGTCCCTCATATTAATCGTCCTAATATTATCAATATGAAAGATATATATTTCAAAATCCACAATTTTAAAGAACATGGAATATATTATGACTATTTTGCATAATTGAAATACTTCTTTTCGAGGGAATTCAAAAATCCTTAGCAATCTGATCAGTTGACAACTAAATAGAATTATCTCTTGATAAAATTTATCTGAGTCAATGATGTGTAACGATTGTGGTTACGTTTTGTAATGTCTTTCGTGATATGATGTGCATTCTTTCCCATAATTATTTGCTGATTATGCATGCATATTTTAAATGGTTGATGATTAATTACATTTTTTTAAATCAAATATCTTTTAAAATTGAAAAATACATTATTGTTAAACATTCACATCGTAAATCTGAAAAACATTCACAAATTTACGCTGGGAAATCAACAATTAATGGAATTCATTGGTGTTCAGTTTTTAAATGTGGACATATCTATTATGTCAATTGAATAATAAAGAACTTATTCTTGGGAAATATTGCCTTATATTGTTCAGTTAAAACGTCTATAAACCACGATGTTAAAAAGAAGTATTTTTTTATCTTTCATTTTTCTTTATGATAAGCACCCTAAAAATGACTGACAATGTGAAGTCGCAGTATATAATTACCATTCCAAGTTGCACAGGCTGTAATACATTTTATAACAAGGAAACATGTCATGTGCTATTAACTCTTTGATAAGCGAGTGCTAATTTATCATTTTGAAAAGTTTGAAAATCTTGTGACAAAGACTTCTCCGACATAGGTTCTAACTGAAGAGGTTTATAGAAATATATAAATATATTTGTGGAAGAAAATTCTCCTTCAATTATGTTTCAATTAATGTAAATATTCGAACCTTAGCGTGTGAATGTGTCATTTATGCTAATATATTTCAACGTATATATAATTTAATTTCGAAATATCAATTTCATAATTGGAGTACATATGTTACCTTAAATCACGCACATATTATCTATAAATATGCGCGTTTGTTCTTTTATTTTCGTATTTATCTTTCATTGAACATATCGAGGTGAAATATTCATATCGAATACTATGTATTTATCTATCTTTGGAGGCGAAAGATACATTTTCCCAAGGTGCTGCTGTTTTGATTTGTCATCGGCATTCAGACACGTGGAGACTTTAGGTGAATTCCAAACACTTATACAAATTATCTTGTAATTTCATCGTTTACACTTGTTACTTTTTTTAAATTGTCATTTCACCTGTAATATGAACTTACCCAAAATCTCTTACATTTAAGACCAGTCGTTTGCTCTCTGTGATAGTCAAAAGGGTTTTATCCGATGTACAAAAGGAACCCAGATTCAGGTTTTATCTGCAAGCTACAGACGAACGGACGAACAGGTATGTCCTTTTGGTAAAACCAAAACACGTACCTGTCGTTTGGAGGCGTCTGAAATCAGGACGAAATGGAATTGCAATGGGTACAGGACATGCCACCTTCACGCTGATGTTCAACACTTCGGAGACCCGTGCCCTAATTACTCTAAATATCTGGAGGTCCAATATCGATGTGTAAAGGATCCAAGCACTATTTCGAAAGGTACTTTTAATATTTTATTTTTGAATACATGACAATGTATTTTTAAATAAAAATATTTGGCACATTATAAAGATAATGCAAAATTGAAATTTATATTTTGAAATCCATGTTATATTCATTTAAGGTATCATTTGTTATAAACTTTTCATAAGCATTTGACATTGCAAAAAGGCCAAGTTTGATTAAACTACATAAGAAAATTAAATGATAACTGGGAATCGTTAGAATCGTCTTCAGTTTTAATTGATTGTTACCTTATGAACAGATAATACCAATTTTTGCTGTTTTTTCATTATTCTTTTTTTCTAATATTTTGCTTATAATATTGCAGGTACATTTATTGCATTTAATGCATACACAACAAAAACACTTCACCTCCAAAGAGGTTGTGTACGATGGTGTATATTTTCACTATGGAAACGCATACAATCAATATACAGGTGTGTTCACAGCGTCGTCTAATGGTCTTTACGTTTTTACGTGGTCAACTTGTGAAACATCAAAAAAGTTATTTGACGTGGAGATCCTTCTCAATGGAAAAAGAAAAGGACTCGGAAATTGTAACAATCAGGGTGGAGGGGGATATGAAAAATGTTCAAGTACTTTATTAGGATTTGTAGACATTAATTTTTTTTTAAATCTGCTGAAATCATCTGTGTCCATGTCCCTTTAAACTGACATTTCTTCGGTAGACTAATAGATTTTTTTCGCCCCTTCATTTATTTGAACAAAAAATCGAGCAAAGATTTTGAAGATGTTATTTTTGATTAAGACACAAATTTTAGTGCAAAAAGGTAATATTAAACTCGCTCTATCGCCAAAAAAAGCACAATGACTCTTATTGTTTATATTGATTTTTAATTAAGCTAGTTCTGTAAAAATTATTAAAACAAAGTTTA